TTGTTTGATCGATCAAGAAAATTTGACTGCTGTTTGGCGAAAAGCGCAAGCAGACGATTGATTAACAAATCCATTCTTTGCATTTATTTTTCGCTATTGTTCGAATTCTACTGAACTGTTAATAGCGTTTTATTATTATTATTTTTTTCTTTGTGACAGATTTTGTATACACACTATATGTAAATATTAGCTATAAACTTCCGGTTTCTATTGGAAATCTGAAATAAATACGTCTGGATAGAATTTCGATATTCATTCATGAAAAAAATTGGAATTATGCCAATGCAGTCACAACAAGCGGTATCTAAAGAACGTCAAGAAAGCCGCCGTAAGTACATTTCAAATACTTTTGTAGTTTACAAGTAGATGACATAGTCTATATTGTTTAATATTTATTCTAAAATAAAAGTAAATTCCGTACATGTAATATGTATTCTGATTTCTAGATAATTCATTAATCAATTCTTTGGAATTGCTTAGTAATTCCACCTACATTACCCATTTGTTTTCGGGCACTTGCGTTTTTTAGAGTTGTTTTCATAGATATTATACCAAATCTGAAAACACTGATTCCAAAATTTTTCTCTAATATATAGTGGATCACATTTAAATTGTGTACATACGTATTTTTGAAATTTATTTAGTATATGGATCTTTTATTAAATATTGAAACGTAGACTCCAAATTTGTTTTTCTAATGCAGTATTCTTTTTTTTTTTATTTTAAGCCTTGCTTGTTACTTTACAAGGTATTTCTTCCGCCTTCTTAGCGAGCCTCCGTGGTGTAGTGGTCTGCACGCTCTGCGCGTAATTGAGAGGTCCGCGGTTCGATTCCCGGCGAAGGGCGTTTCTCATTTTTCATCTTTCCTGCTTCCAAAAAATACCTAATGTCTCTACAACTTGTTGGAATAATTTGACAGATGAAGGTTCTTGTCATATTTTGTTTTTAACTGAAATATTTTGTACGAGTTATCGTTTGAATTTGGGCATTTGTTTCTACACAGCTGTGCAAAAATTAAGGACGAAGTCGTAAAATTAGCATATCAGCTGAACGAAGAGGCAGAGCGGACAGAAAGACCAATCAGGTGATTAAGTAAGGTGATGTACGGTAGCACATGCGCAGATATGCAGGTAGACGTAATGGGGGAGTGTCTGAGTAGTATAAAGCATGTTGTCGGTGTAAGATCAGTATTTCTGGCAAAGAGATTGCACGCCGTATAGCAGTTAAAATCACACCGAGTTGCTGCCTCAGCGAGAAATGGCGAATAATCAATCTGTTAGACGACATCTGGATGCTTTTACCCGAGGTCGAATCATTGGGAAGTTGGAGGAAGGCCGCAGTGTGACAAGTGTGGCTGCAGAGTTCGGAATTGCTCACAGCATCGTTTCACGACTTTGGAGACAATTTCAACCTACAGGAACAGCTATCCGGGGGTTTAGTAGTGGTCATCCACGAGGAACCACACCCGCAGATGACCAGTATATTGCCTTACAGGCCAGAAGAAACAGGCGGCAGACAGCGGGAGAAATCGCTAGACACACGACACAGGCGACTGGACGACCGATATCGCGTTTTACCGTGGCCAGAAGACTGCACGGTGGTGGTCTGTTTGCACGACGCCCTGTACGGTGTGTACCTCTAACACCTGCCCATCGGAGATGGCGTTCTCTGTGGTGCCGGGAACACCGGAATTGGAGAGACAATGAATGGGGACGAGTACTCTTTACAGATGAGAGCAGGTTCAGTCTGAGTAGCGATTCTCATCGCATACTCATCTGGAGAGAGCGGGGAAGCCGCAATCATCCCTCGAACATCATTGAAAGGGACAGGTATGGAGTGGCGGTGTTCTCGTTTGGGGAGGCATCATGCTTGGTAGACGTACAGACCTTCACATTTTCGACGCAGGTTCAGTCAACGGGACCCGTTATTGTAACGAGATTCTTCTTCCATATGTGCGTCTTTTTAGAGACGCTATGGGTCCGCAGTTTCTTTTCGTGGACGACAATGCATTATGTCATCGCACAGTAGCTGCCGAACAGCTCTTAGAGAGTGAGGATATTGAACGTATGGATTGGCCGGCACGATCTCCGGATCTCAATCCCATCAAGCATGTATGGGATTTTCTTGGCAGACGCTTGGCAGCTCGTACCTTACCACCAGTAACGATTCCGGAGCTTCGGTTGGCGCTGCAAGACGAATGGGCAGCAATGCCTCAACAACTCATTGACACCCTCATTCTCAGCATGGGCAGACGCTGTGAAACCTGCCTAGCAGTCAGGGGAGATCATATCCCCTATTAAAGACCGGATGTTTCTTGCTGGACACCCATCACATAGATGTTTCGGCCTTCAGTCGCATTGCGCTCCATGCTACTTTTTCAATAAAGCTTCTTTTTATCCCTCTGATTTCTCTTTTAGTAAGTGTTGCTTACATTACTCATGTCCTTACGTATTGGGGATCTTACGGCATTAAATGTGTTGATTTGGAAAGCTTTTGTACAAAGTTATATTGAAAAAACCGTCTCGTCCTTAATTTTTGCACACCAGTGTAATTTGTTGTACAAGAAAATTTTTTTTAGCCCCTATTGATACATTCGATTTCGGGTTGATATATATCGGAAGACAAAAAGTCAAGGCATAAAGTGAGAGTGTCATTCTGAAATATAACCAAGAAAATAGTACTTATTCATCCTATTTTAGGAAGCTTTGAAATTTCAGGGCCATACCCGTAGCGCTTCTAGGTTCATAAAAACAAAAGCAAAATAGAAGGAAACAAGCGATATTTGTGCTAATATCAGTACTACCAATATAGAAAAATAACATACGAAAATAAAATAAACATGGAAGGTCTAAAGGAAAGAAATAAACTGGTTTATATTTCATACCCGTTTTTAATTATTAAACCATAAAATCGATATTTGAATATCGATATTTTATTCGATAAGAATGTAAATATATTTCAAAATTTATATCATTATCGATATTTGAAATTATTGTTACAACTCACCAGAAAAAAATGGTACCTTTTGATTTATACGAATACCTCACATATGTTTAAATAAAGATGGATATACACGCTATATTCAACCGTCATTTCACTGGTCGGTGTTACTTGTATATAAGATCCCCCCCGCCCCCTCATAAACGTTTTTATTATTTATAAAATACTTTTTTTATTCTTCTTATTTTTTTATTCTGATTTCTATGCGCTGTAAAGGAGTCATGCAACTTTTTTTAGCCAATTCACAAAACACTCAATTAAAATATCTGAATATTTAATGAAACTGAAATATCATGAACGTTGTAGACATTAAAACATTTGAATACATCGTAAATTTTTATAACCATTACTTTAATTGTTAAATTGTACGCAGAAAGTATTTCAGTTGTAAGTCGTAAAACTGAATAGGGAATAGTTCAAGAAAAAAGAAGTTAATAATAAAAAAGTTGTTTTAAGAAACATAGGAAAATGAATGTTTAAAAAATAAGATCAGGAATAAGAAATCGTTTTAAAATAAGAAGTTGGCATAATAAATTGTTTCAAAAGAATTCTCGGACAAATATATGTTAAGATTTTCAGCAACGCTGGCCTCGATTCTAATTTCCGTAATTCAGTAAATTGCGGTGATAATTAATTCTAGAAAAAGAAACAATTATTTTTGAATAATTAAGTGCAGAAATTTAAACGAAAACTTTAAAATATATTTTACCGTCAAGGTATGAAAGCCGAAGTTCTATAGAATACCTAGGCATTTTATAGAATGCCGAAAACTGGCCGGCAATGTATGGAACGATTAACATTTCATACCTTTTTAGGCATGTATAATGCCAAATGATAAACCCGCAAATATGGAAATACGTTTCCGTTTCTTTTCGAATATCCATACATTCATACTCAATTGATAAATTTAATACATCCATACATTTAATACATTCATACACAATCCGTAAATTTAATACTTCCATTCCATACATTTAATACATTCATTCCATACACTTTCATACATTGTTACTTTAGTAAGAAAAGCATAAATTTTGTTTTATATAACTTTTATTCAAAATATGTAAAGAAAAATTAAAGTTTTTAATGGCACTCTTTCACTATTTCAAAATAACATTTGTATTTTCGAGGAATGCACGTCTTTTAAATAAATAATAACCTTATGACTTTTATTTTAAAAAGTCTCAAGGTTATTATTTATTTAAACAATAAAATAATAACTCTCTTAAATAATAACCCTATGACTTTTTTTCATATTTTGTTTACCCGAGCGGTTAAGGCAGCTGAATATTGGTAGTCCGACCTGAATTGTGTTCAAACTCAGGCGAACAGGCTGGCTGCATGTTTGGTTTTCGTGGTTTTCCCCATGCATTACGTGAATACGAGGCCGTTTCTCTCAAAAAATACCCCACGAAGGCATTACTTCTCTTAATTAGATAGCTTTCGAGCGGTTGCCATATTCAAATAACCTAACCTAACTAACATCTGTGATTCTGTAGAATGCCTAGGTATTGCATACAATGCCTAGGAAAAATATGCAATGATTCTGTGATTTTGTATTTTCCCTAGAGTCATCAGGAATTCTATGAAATGCCTAGGTATTATATATAGTGCTGGCATTTCATACATGCCGGTAACACATATAATTTCAAGGGCTCTTTCGTCAGGCGTAACATATTACTTTTCATTCAAACACACATTGTACTGCTTTCAAAAATTTTGTTGAACACCATTTAAAACGCTGACGCTACTTTATGGCTTCAGCAACAACATAAGACCCGGATATGCAATTCTTTCTACAACAGCCTACTTCTTCTCGTCGTAATTCAGTTTATCCATTTAACTTGTTTTCCCTAGCTTCTCGCCATACGGCGACAACAGTGAAAAGAGATGGGATATTTCACGTGAAGCTTGTCTCGAAATAACCGAAAAAAACTTCAGGAGTTGAGGAGAGAGAAGAGATTACAGTGCCAAGAAGATATTTTTGGCTTTTGAGCACCGAAGATCAGCCCGCGAAGGATTGTGGGTAACCGAACGTGTCTGATGGTATCTTCGTTTGTTGCCTGTGATCCTTGAACAGCTGTGTTGCAGTGGTCTGGTTGAAAGAAAAGGTGTCCAACTTGTCTGAAGTTGAAAACGGCATCTCTTTCAGATGGTTGGATTACTTCCGATTTTTCAAAATAGTAAATGAGTGGAAGTGTGCAGATTATTTCCTTTTACGAAACTTTCCCCGAAGGAATCATTTAGTTCTTTGCAAAGTTGTTCGATCTAGGTTTTTTGTACAATGAGTTCGCCGCAAGAACTCATTCTTTTTGTGAAAGCCGGTGATGATGGTAAACGTTACGGCGCATGTCCGTTCTGTCAAAGATTGTTCATGATCTTGCTCATTAAATCTTCCCAAAATTTACTGCAGTTCAAAGTGGCAACAGTTAACTTGGCTAAACCACCTGACATGTTTCGGAAGTTGACTCTGAGACGGGTGCCTGCGCTGATCCACGCCGATACGGCCCTCGACAACATCGACGAGCTTATCCAGTACCTGGACGAGGCTTTCCCTACGCAAAATCTCCAGTATGAGAATGCGGAGGCTGACAAATGTTGCAAAGACGTGTTCCAGAAGTTTTGCTTTTATGTGAAGGACGTCTCGAAGGATGCTTCCCAGTTGGAATCCGAACTGCGCAAAATTGATACCTACCTTGGAACGATCGAAACGAAATTTTTGTGTGCAAATCATTTAACACATTTAGACTGTGAGCTTCTGCCCAAGCTTCACCAAGTCAGAGTAGCTGCAAAGTATTTAAAAAACTTCGAAATCTCACCGAAATTGGTAAATATGTGGAGGTATTTAGGTGGTGCATATGCTGAGGACACTTTCAAGCAAGCTTGTCCTTCCGATCAAGAAATAATAGTTCACTGGGCAGATAAACCGGAAACGCCGAATTTGTCAATGGAAGAAAGGGCAAGACTGGCTAGGGAGGAACCGAAGTTTTCGTTTGACGTGCCTATAATATTAAAATAATTTTCTTCGCTGTCTCCTAATAAAATACCGCATTTCCTCACGTATTTTACTAATTTTTGTCCAAAAATCGGAAGAAGAAAATAATGCGAATCATTTAATTTCCAAATGACGCTTTTATAGTAAGAACGTAGCAAACGTAACGTTCGTGGTAAACTGGAGGTAGCCATCACAACGTTATTTCTTTGGAAAAAAAAAAAAAAACTTAACATTCTAATAAGAATATATAGTAATATTAAAATTTAAGATATCATTTCTACTTCTCTGTAATTTGAATCTCACCGGTTATTATTGTATCTGCTACTCCTTAGGCCTCAAGTCATTCATAAATAAGTGCAGAAGGGGAATGTGCACCCGACTCGGCAAAATCATTGGTTGAATATCAGTTCGTGTTTGTTTCACTGTGATGGATCGGTTCTTGTATTAAGCTGACATAATGTTCAGCAGTTAAAAAGGAAAGATTCTGCGTGACCTTCGCAGGTAGCCTGCGAGGTTTCGCTTTCATGTTGTTAATAAAACGAAAGAAATCACTAAGTGGACAAATCCATTTTTTTTTTTTTAATTTAGAGTAACTCGTTATGTGAACACACTGATGAAGGGGGAAATAATGCAAATATTTAAAAAATTTTCAAAAACCTGCCGTTAGAAACTTTGGAGAGAAATACATGTTGAAATACGGTATGTTATTTATATGATTAGTTTTAAGTATTTTGTTGGAGAAAGAAAAAATTGCTTTTCTTTCAGCTCGTAAAAATGCTTCAACTGAGAAAGAAAGCAATTTGCGTTTTCTGTGTTTCCGATGGGTCCAATATTCGGATCATAATAATTAAGTTGTAATTAACTTGCACTGAATACGAATCTGCTTTGAAACTGTGCACCTCTATGAATACGAAACCTTAACATTTCTGCTAAATGTAAAATATACGAAAATTTAACGGCAGTAACATGTCTAAATAACTTTCTGTTACATTTATGCATGTTTAATAATTATAGTTCTGATAATTAATTCAATCAAATTAAATTATCAATTATTAAATGTAATATCAAATGTGTGAAATATCAGTTTTGCTAATGTAAACTTTCTCACAGATAATTTGATATAGTAATTATAATTTTAGTTTAGCTACATTTAATTAAATGATTATAGAAAAAAAAAATAATGTTATTTTGCTTTAAATGTTTTTTTGTTGGATTATTCTTATATGCCCATGGATTACTATTGGTAGGGAATTTTCTTAATGATGAATTTGAAGATTCAGTTAGAAAATATTATTTTTAATAACCTAATGCAGAATAAAGTACACTTCGGTCATTATGGTTGGTTACCAATTTGCAGACGAAAGGAAACTGGAGGATGAATGTTTGTTAACTGGACATTCGAATTCTGTCATTGCAAAATTGATTATTTTATTTAATATTTTATGAATATCTGCATTTAAAAGGTGCACAAAGTTAAAAATGTCAACTGTCTTGTTTATAATTTTTTATGCTTTATTTATGCATTAAAAAAAATCTGACAATCTCATAAGGTTCTGAAATTTATCACATAATTACACTCGAAGAATTAATTTACGTTTCAAGTAATTGATACTTTTTAAGGCAATTAAGATAACTCATAATCGATGAAATCGCAGATTTTGCAATTTTTTTGCTAAAAATATGTTTTAATACCTCTACTCACTAAGAAGAAATTTTGAAACGATCTGACGAGATTAAATGGTGTAAAAAGGTTTTTAAAAATGTTGGCAATCCTTTAAATGTAACACCCACGTCGGGGTTTATTTTCTTTTACTTATTAATTGGCTCAATTATTTACTAAAAATTAATTAATTATTAATTTTTGAAATTAATTAATTACCAAATTATTTACTAAAAGTGCAGGACAACATGAGTGCACTTGTTTCGAAATATGTTCGAAAATTAACTGGTACATACTCGTGTATTTTTGAATGCAGTTTGTTTCTTTACAATAAATAATTTATATTTATAAGCGCCATCCATGTGCATCTAATTAGCTTATATAAATTACTGTAAAATGTACTTAGTGCTGCAGTACTGTGATATACTTTCTCAAAGAGGTGCGAAAGCGAAAAAGATTAATTTAATTAAATGTGATTGCAACTATCTACAAACTTTGTTTATGTGTGCAATCTGATTAATTTAAAATTAAGTTCAAAATTTTTTCCCCACTTTTTAAATTGCAGTCAAAGGCTATTAAGCGAAATGGCATTTTACGTCGAATCACTTAAATACGATGAATCATCTGTCAAATTGTTGCCACCAAATATTTTCGCCTGTATTATATTTAAAGGAACTAAATAATCAAGAATCTTCATGAATGTAAGTATGTTTCTCTCATTATGGAAAAACAACGGTACCTAGAGTCATCAAATGCTGAATAACAGAGTCCACCATACGAATATGGGTACTTGGAAGTCTGAATCTTGAATATGTTTTATTAACTCTTTCATAACGATTTCAAAGCGAACAGTGCCAATACACTGTACGGAATAAAAAATATTTTTATCTTTAGTGCGCGAGATTGTCTATCGGAAATTCTAAAGATATGCTATTTTCAAATATTTTTATTCCAAATGCTCTGGAAACATGTATGTGTTAGCAAATGGGGGGGGGACGTGCTTTTGGGGCCTAATAAAATCTAAAAGCTAGGAGAAAAATAAATAAATAAAATTCGACAGCTTTCAGATTATATTTATTTATTTATTTTTACTCAGTTCAGAACATATATCAGAAAATATATCAGTTCAGAAAATATATGTATTTTGCCAGTCAAATGTGTTATGCTTGTTCCAAAACGGAATTATTTGTGATACATATGCGCAGGAAGAGGTAGCATAATGAAAGTGATCCAGTTCATGACTGTAGCATTATTGAAATTCAAGCTGAAACAAATATTAAATCTTTAATTTACTCTTAAATTCATAAAAAAAGGCAATTTATATATGAGAACAAAGGGTTAAAATAAGAGAAGAAATCACGTATTCTGTTTTGCAATTTTAAATAAAACGTTTTTGTGTCAATTCAAATTTCAAATCATACATTATGAAAGATTAATGTTATTTATATTGATTATAAATGTTTTAGAACAAATATCATAATTAATTTACTTAATAAAACTGTTCCGAACGTGTTTTACAAAACATAAACAGGGAAAGCAAAATTCCACTTACGTTTTATGATTCCTAATTACGTTTTAAAATTCACTGATATCCAAATAACACCTTATATTTTTAAACTAGTTCCTGAAGAAAATACCTTTTCTGAAACATTTGGTTATTTGAGTTTAAGAGAATTAGGAATTTCATTACCATAAATTTATTAATTGTTTAATAGATGGATAAGAAAATATGAAATATGTCCTGCAGATATAATGTATTTTTAGGTGTTTTCATTTTTTAAAACTTATACTTTTTTTACGTGGCATTTTTAATGCCAGAATTCGATGTAATTTTAAATACTGATAAAAATGGAAAAATACTGTATAAGCTAGACGAACATTGCAAATTTAATGTCAGTTTCACAAAAATAAATTAAAAAAAATTCTGAAAGCTTTCAGATTTTATATTACGCCCAAAAAGACTTTTTTAACGTTTTGTGTGTTACCTTTACTGATTAAATATCATGTTCTTTGCGCTTAAACAACATAAAATTCAATTCAACAGCAGTATCACAAAACAGCATATCTATAGATTTTCCGATGCATATTCTCGAGTGCTGGAGATAAAATTTTTTTTTTTTTTTTTTCGCACAGTGTTACTCGCTTCGAAATCGTTGAGTTTCAAGTCAAAAAATTCGTTAAAGTTTCACCAAATTTGAAATACACAATAAAATATTTAAAAACAGCACATCTTTAGAATTTCCCATAGCCAGTCTGGCGTGCTAGAGATAAAAATCTCTTTTCCCTTACAATATTGCCATTGCTCGCTGTGAAATCGTTACGTTTGTTAATCAAAAATTCGTTAAAGTTTTACAGAATTTGAAACAGATAATAAAACAAATTTGAATTTCAAAATTCGGTCTTCCAATGTTCGGTTGGAGGACTACGTTATTCAAAATTTGATGGCCGTAGGTACCGTTGTTTTTTTCACAGTGCGAGAAATATTCATGCAGATTTCCATTATTTAGTTTCTTTAAATATAATACATAGCGATAATATTTGGTAGCAACACTTTGAAAAGTGAATCAACGCAGAAAGTAAAACGACGCAAAAAGCCGTTTCGAGACTGATAGCCCTTTAGGTCTGACTACCATTTGGGCTAATAAATAAATAAAATAAAAGTATATACTGTTGGTTCATACTTCTTATTACACTGTTTAGGGTTTTTTTCCTTGATGTAATTAACGTGATGACTCTTGAGTAAATTTATAACATTTTTGCTAAATAATTTATTTCTGATACGCGTTACTGTAATATAGCCCTGATTTTCTTTGCAACAGTTATTTTTACACGTTTTGAGAGTTAGCATGAACTAACAATATACAGCATTAATTAATAAGTTCTTTAAAAACATGATTTTAGCATATTTCCATAGATTATGGTATACAAATTGCGTGACCAAGAGCAGTATATCAAGATTTATGTGTAAAATGCGATTTTTGATTTAAATTCCAAAAATAATAAAAAAAAACAGACAACTTGATATTTTCAAGCAATTTATTGCATTTACAAAATACAAATTTGCATAAACAATTATGCTCAATTTGCTTTCAAATAAAGCTTCTGAGAATGTATATAGGTATGTAAAAAATGATAGAAAATATAACACAATTCGCTGTAAAAGATTTAAAAAAATCGAACAAGGACTTGCGAAAAGTAATCGTTAATTTTTCTAACATTAGAACCCGATCCAACACCTCAATAGATTTTTAAATATCTTACAATAAAACTCTTCACCAAAAGTATTTATTTTTACATTCGAGTGATAACCTCGAGGATAAGAAAATCTTGTTCGCCGTCTTATATCACCAAATTAGAAACAGCCATAGCAATATATTAAATTTTATATCGATTTATCGTTAACAGTATACTCAGAAAAATAAGTCTCATCGTAGTACTTTGAGCAAATCAGTAAAGTCCATCCTGTTCCGTGAATATCGATGATGATGAAGTAAGGAATTTCATCGATTCCACGCATATATTTCACTATAAAACATAAAAGGACTTTCACCAAACATAAAAAATAGTTCAATCGGGAGGTGACTTAGACAGTTATGACTCTGAATAGGGGGGCAGAGAAGTAAAATTATCTAAGTACGCAATAATTCCACTTCCTTTTTACATAATTTCTTATTTTTAATGCTCGAGTATTGTTTCAAATATTAAAAAAATACTTGCCCCGAATGTAAGTGCTTAAATATAATACAATACTTGTTTCTGCATTACATTAGTTTGTATCAAGAATATAACTTCTTCGTTTTAGGGTGTAAATTTCGTTTACGAGTAGAAAAAATCTTCTAAAAATAGTAATTTTTAAACTCTAGTTCAAAAATAAATTCATTTAAAACAAAGGAACTCTATAAATAAAAGTTTATATTATTATACAAGATATGGATTGTAATATAATACAAGCTAAAGCGGATACTTGGAATGTTTAGTGAGTGCTATACGGCATTATATGCCGAACATATTTGTATAGTTTGAAGGCAATGATAAAATACTAAATTCAGTTCTTAATTTAAAGTCTGTGATTTCCTAATTTCAAGTTATTTAAACGCTAACTATTTTGTGAAGTATTGATAGTTTCTGTTACAGTATAAGCATCATAATAAGACTATGACTGTAGGTTTCAAGAGTGTAACACATTTCAGTGATATGTGGACATCCTAATATTCACTGATCATTTTCAAGAATAAATCCCATTTGAATGCAGGAATCAGTAATGGAATCCCGATGTGAAGTTTCCGATGGTGATGGAACTTATTTCTCAAATATCGCTTGAAAACAAATCATTTAATCACTGGAATTCGTCATTTCTGGAACCGCTAAGTTCCAGACATTTGCACAGTTCTGTAAAACTATGTCTCACTTGAAGTTCATAGTTATAGTTCAAATTATCTAAGGAAAATGCCTAATTTTTTTAATGGACTGGTCATCGGAAAACGCTTTTTGTTTTCCTTAGTTGTTGCAGCCATGGGTTTGGAGGAATATCGTCAGTATCTTCGTGCTGGGGTTCCGTTTCCGAAGGTTTGTTTGCAGATTCCCGTGGAGGTTCTGGGCTTTTGGGCTGAGCCTCTACTGGAGGTCTTTCTGCGTGGGGAGGAATTTCTATAGTTTTGCCCACAGGCTGGGACATAGTTCGATGAATGCTGTAAGAAAAAGAGAAAATTCTAAAAACATTTCAAAATCATTTAATTTTAGCGTACATTTAATAGCATTTAGTATTTTACTGCTGGCTCATGTAGTCTCAGACTAATGGAGTACCAGGGCTGTAACTACCACCCTAGCAAGGGGCAGTGCTTCGAGCTTACGGCGCCCTGGAATGAGGGAAAAAAGTATATCGTTTTTTTTTACACTCATGTCCATAAATTAAGGATAATTCGGAGTCACGCGGAAATCAATTTCTTAAATAAATATATTACCTGTAAAATCACTACACACATCTTCAAGAATCATATGCAAATTTCAGGAAGTAACCAGATGACACCGATGGTACGTCACAATGACGAGAGTGTAAGAGAGTGATATATAAGGAATACAGGCAAAGAAGTAAAATTGTTCGCATGCGCTTTATAAGCATTTCAGTGCAATAACCGAATAGTTATGACACAAAGGACGCATTTGGATGATTTTTTTACGTGGTAGAATTATCGGCCGTCTGGAATGTGGGCGTACCCAACTGGAAGTATCAGACGAACTTGGAATTGCCCAGAGTGTCATCTCCAGGCTTTGGCAACGATTCCAAGATGATGGTAATGTGAGTAGACGTTACAGCACAGGTCGCCCCAGAGTTACAACGCCGAATGAGGACCGGTATTTGGCAGTTACTGCCAAAAGAAACAGGCGGAGCACAGCCTCAGACCTGTCTCGTCAGCTCTCTTCAGCCCCTGGTACGACAATTTCAAGGCAGACCGTGTACAGACGCTTAGGGCAGATTGGTTTATATGCTCGTAGACCTGTCAGACGCGTTCCACTTACTGCAACTCACTGTCGCCTGCGGTTAGCCTGGAGTAGAGAGCATGCATTGTGGACACCGCAACAGTGGGCTTGTGTGATGTTTCCCGACGAGTCCAGGTTTAGCTTGCAGTCTGATTCTCGCCGGACTTTCATATGGAGAGCTCCAGGTACCCGTTACCACCAAGAAAAAACATCATTGAACGACACCGTTACGGTGGTGCAGGAGTGCTCGTTTGGGGTGGAATTATTCTGGGTTCCAGAACTGACCTTGCATGTTCAAATTGGAATCATGACAAGCCAAATCTATCGGGACGTCATTCTGGAACAACATGTACATTTGTTTCGGGGTGCCATGGGCACACAATTTGTGTTTATGGATGACAACGCCAGTCCTCACCGTGCAAATATCGTAAGCGAATGCCTTCAATCGGAGGATATCACCCGTACAGACTGGCCAGCATTCTCACCGGACTTGAAACCAGTAGAAGCACGTGTGGGACATGCTTGGCCGACGAGTTGCAGCCCGTCAACCTCCTTCCTACATGTCTACCGGAACTTCGGAGAGCATTGCTTTTTGAGTGGTGTAATATCCCCCAAGATCAGATCGATAATTTGATACTCAGCATGCCTAGGCGTTGTACGGACTGTATTGCATCGTCTGGGAGACATACAATGTATTAACAATCATACCAACCATGTAATATTGGTTTTTTGTAAGTAGGTTTTTTTTTTGTAATTTGCTCCAGAAAAAATCGATAATTTTTTTAATAATATCAAACATATAGCATCTTCTTTTGCTCTTTACCTTTTGTTTAATAAATAAGCTTTACAAATAAGTCAAATTTGTTTTGCTTCTAACTTTTCCTTTGCCTGATTTTGCATCATCCTTTATTTATGGACATGAGTGTATATTATGGATTTTATTTCAAGAAAGTGAAATATTATTCTTCGCAGATGCTTTATGCGCATTCGACAGTGTAAAAAGTATATATATATATATATATATAAAAAATAAATAATGTGATATGTATAAGATTAAATTAACAACGGAAATTTCCCTTCTCAATTCTAAAAATAGTAACCTCTCCCTCTACTGCGTCATTTCGAGACTATTCCATGTCATATGATTCTTACGTAATTCTGATGATGTAAATGGAACTAAAATTTAGACAGCCAATGATAATTTTATAGCAACTATTAACTAGCCAATCAAAATGCATCGAAAACCAAAACTAACTCAGTCTGAATTAGGATTTCACCCTCGCACTTGCTTCCTACGCTTTGGCTTAGCTGGACTGCAGCCTGTCTGCTCCTACTTTCTTATTGCAAATTTACCTAAAATGTAAACTTTTCGGGATAGGCATATTTAATGTGCCAACTTGTTTGTGGCCGCAACATATCTGCTGAAATAAAAAATGAACATTTAATCTGCCTTCGCCTCCAATTACCTATCCATTATGGATCAACACTTCTATATACTACATATATCTGTAAATTTTTGACACAGTCGATACAAAATGCTTTTAAATTGAAAAATGTTTGTATATATATTAAGACAAACCATACAGTTCATACGCCTTGTTCGAAACAAAGATTTTTATAAACACATTTACAATCGTAAATTCATGGAGATGATAAAAATTCTAAAGCAAATAAGAAGTAAAGAAGTCTTTACTTTCTGTAAGTAGTTTCTCAAATAAAAGAACATTAATTTAACGGATTAATAAAACAACGCAAACATTTATGGTTATATTATATCCACGAGTTTTAAACCTTTATCGCTTATTTAGGTATGTTTAAAGTTTTAGATTAAAAAAACACTGGGGAATAATGGGGATGTTACAGAAAAAGGTGTCTGATAACTTTCATCTAAAATTAGTTTTATTGTTGGTGGCAGCATGCCAAGTCGGTTCCGGGATTGCTTCGATGGCAGAGTTTATTAAAAGAGTACTTCAGAGACTTTCCTCGTGTTTTAGAAGGGAAATATACGCTAACGCAGCACTTTTTAAAAGAAGATTTTGTACACTTTTAAGTAATTTATTATTATTAAAACAGAAACGTGGGGGGCAGGGAATCAAAGCAAAGATGAATACTATCTTCTAAGGACATCATCTCCCGCCGAAAGTAAAGCTGCCTTATTTCTTAAAAACGGTAATGTATCTCGTACAACTTTCCTTAGCTAGCTCTCACTGTGGGAACGTTAAAAGTTAGTGTTTTCTGAATTCAAATGGCAGTCAGTGGCGTAATTAGATGAGAGCGTTTCACCCCAGACGGCACATTTTTAGGGGCGACATTTTTTTTTTTCGCTTGCAACAGTATTTTATAGGGTCAGTCAGGTGGATCATCAAGGCAGGTAAAGAATAGTTAAACTCCAAATTGCCATACAGAATTAAATTGAGAAAAAAAAAAAACGTTTTTACGTTAGGTAAAATATTTAAAGAAGTTACCACGTAATTTCAACAGCTATATACTTTTATTATACCTTTTTTTATTGAATCGAAACTTTTCCACGAAGATTACGAATATGAACTAAATTATGATCACGATGGTATTCATAAGAAGAATTCTCAGTTAAGAATGAAGGATTTCAGGGTGTTTTATTTCTGTTATTGCTAGAGACGTCGATATAGGAGCGTGAGCGGGCAGTCCTTTCGAATTTTGGCAATTTAATTCTAAAACACAATGTCCAGAATGAAGTTCCAAATATTGTAATACTAACGCGAACTTTCCTTTTCATTGCTGTAAGTGTTTTTAGCTGTGGGAAGCGTTTTAAGAAATCTTTTTATACTGTCTACATAACCATAACCGGAGCAGTCAAATAGACCTCTACAATGCCACGTGCGATCTTGCGAACAGAAAAAAGCAAAATAATAATATCATTTTAAAATGTTGGAACTTTTCTTAAAATGTCTTAAGAAAACAACGTTTTTCTTAAAAGGTAGAGTTTTAATTTATTTTGCTATCTGTCGTTTGGATATTTTTTTCAGTTATTTAGTTTGTAGAATAAAATTGTAAAACAAAAGGGGCGGCAAGTTCAGGAACCTCCTAAGGCGGCAAACTCAGAAACTGCCCAAGTCGGCAAAAGTTCTAGCTTCGCTACTGATGACGATGGACTCTGTAATAAATAATGAAAGTATAATAAACACAAAATCGAGTTTGTACTTTAATGTACATGCAAGTTATCGTCTGTTAGATGATATGTAGATTTCTGAATTAAACATTCATATCTGAATGTTCCATTTTTAATGCAAGTAATATTTTATAATCGTATATTTAATTATAAATTTACTAGCTGAAGTACCTGGCAGTGCCCAACTCCATTTAAGGAGATAGAAATAGTTTTTTCCGAAATCTCAAGTAAACAGTGATTTTATTTTGGTTCCAGACGAATTCTTCAAAACTTTCATTCGAATATAATCGTAGAACTTTGTGCAACTAACATGACACTATACAATGGTTTTAGTAAGAAATACCATTTGCTTTGTTATTGGGTTATGTCTCTTTTCGTAAATGAACTTTCCAAAAATCACAGCCCACTTTGGCCATTTCTTCACCAATTTTGAAATATTCGCGGAAAACCGATTGAGAGAGAAGTTAAATTCTGTTTTAAATGTTCTACACAGTCGCCCAGACGATACAGTGATTAAGACTGCGATACCAAGGGTCTGGGTTCGAATGTCGGGGAAGGCAAGGCTGTAACTGTCCGTCCCCTTCAAAGAAGGCAAAGGTGTTCACCTATTAGGTGCCTCCATAATAAAGTGACTACCAATTCTGGTCAAGCCAAAGTCAGCTGAGGACTCGCCATTGGAAAAAAAGGATGGTTCTACACAGTTCTGAAGAGTAAATTCACCATGTAATGGTTTTGAATAACTGCTTGTGTCTCTGTTGAATACACTTTGGAAACTGGAATTTGCTTTCTAAAATATTGTTGTGTGGAATATGAAACATTCTTTGAATACATCAACTGAGGCGAATTACACTGAATATACATTTATTTGTGTACTGAATATGAATTTTTGAAAATCATTCGATAGCCTTTGATACCTTGGAATAAAGAAATGGAATTTCTTCTATAAATATCTGATGTAAAATGTTTCCTTATAGAATGATGGATTAATTAAAAAAATTTTATCCACTTTTCATTTATTAATTTCTCACTGTAGAAGAAAAAAAGAACAATCATAAAACTCTCACAAAATCTTTCTTTGTACTGTCGGAACCGGACCCGAGATTGTAATTTCTGACTCGAAGTGCTTAAGAATAACAACTTCGGATGTTACTATGGTGATACTCACCTCTGTGTCGTGACTGGACTGGTTGGTTCTTTTCGCTGTAGCAGTTGTCTTTTCCAAGGAGGAATAGCATTCAGTTTTTTCGCTTCCGCTTCCCTCTGTGAGGCAAAAAATGAATACTAGTTAATGACCAGATAAAACGTTTCGGATTCGACACGATTTACCAAATGACAGCTCAATAAAATAGTTTTGTTTAAAATTAAAGGAGTTGCCAATAAATATTTCTGAGAACGAATACAATGCTTTTGTTTTATGGATAGAAAATGAACATTTTTTCAAAGTACATATATCACTAAAAATTTCTTTTTCCTGTTATGTATTTTGCTATTTAAACAAGAACTTTTATTTTATTTTAATTCAGTTACAGAACACTTCGTCTTCCGACGGTATTTGATGGTAAAAAAATTAATGGCTATTTAAAAGTAATTAAACTCCATCTAAGAAAGTTTTGAACATAGATTTTTCAGTTACTGAGATCTTAGTTAACTGATGTAAAAAGAAGCACATATCTAAGAAATTTTAACAGACAGATGAATTGCTTTGTCCAAAAAGAATTTTCAGTGTTTCGAGATGAGACAGAAAGTGCGTCAGAAATAAAGAATAGACAGTAAATAAAGTTTAGCTGCATAAAGAAAGTCCTCCCCCCAAATAATTCTAAACTTTTAGTAATTTAATGTAAGAAAAACACTATAATCAATAGTTACAGGAAAGTAACCAACACTATACTCAGATGTTAACAAAGATTTCAGTAGTTAATGGGTATCATAATTACATTAATTATAGTTAAATCTTTATAGATTTTACTTTCTAACCACAATTTCCTACTCTTGAATATCCTAACCTCTTAGAGTATCTACGTAGGAAAATGTAATGAAAGCTCAATTCGGTTCATAAAATTAATTTGTTCCTGAAGAACTATAGCTATAATGCTTCCCCCGAAGAAGTGCATTAGCAAAAAGATTTTTCATTAATATACTTTCGAACTGTTATGCGTACTGTTCATAACTTACCTGAACATACCATTCGGATTACAAACAGCTTGATTCACGAACAAATTACCTGAACAAAATACGCCCTGGATGACGAACGAAGTTACGGAGATTCAAGTCGGCCACATACTCTTTTCAGAAACATACCACATGGGGCAACATTTTAGTGAAAGAAGACTTATTATGTCTCACATAAAATTGAAATGTGCTTAATACGAAGAAAAGATAAAAGAAGATGCCTTCCGAAATCATTTTATCTGACGTTTTTGTGTCAAGAGGTGCCTCACCAAATGATAAAATCTTCATTATCATTTGCCACTTATTTGGCTTCATACAGACACAAAATTACGTTTTTGCTTGTTTTTACTGTTTGGTAAATATTATATACAATATAAATTGCTTTCAAATTATTGATTTCAAACCCATTGCTTTCAAATAGCCGAATTTGTGGATTAAAGTTGAAAAATAAAATTTTACGTTTTGCCGACTGCCAACGGTTTGGCACGCGTGAGATAAAAATGCTTTATTTATTTTGAAGATTGTTGGCACTTCTCGCTTTCAAACCACCGAGCTTGTTAATTAAAAATTTGTTCAATTTGCGCAAACTGTGAAATTAATAAAAAAAATATAGACTCAGTGTTCAGATTTTATATTAAGCTCAAAAGGGCCGTTTTTTTTTAACGTTTAGTGTGTTACCGTTATTTATTAACTATCATGTTGTTCTAATTTGAATCATGAAATTCAATACAAAAGAAATATCCCAAAATATTTAAAAAAGTATATCTTTAGAATTTCCGATACCCAGTCTCGCGCGCTGGAGATATTTTTTTTTTTTTTTTTTCGTATACTGTTGCTATTGCTCGCTTTGAAATCGTTGAGTTTGTTAAACAAAAATTCTTAAAGTTTTACAAAGTGTGAAATCGATCATAAAACAAATTCCAAATCCGGGCTTCCACATTCCCATATTCGAGTGGAGGACCACGTTATTCAAAATTTGATGTTTCTAGATACCGTTGATTTTTCACAGTGCGAGAAACATACATACATTCATGCAGATTCTTTATTTTTTAATTTCTTTAAATGTGATGCAGGGCTCTAATAGTTGGTGGCAAAAATTCGAAAAGTGAAACGCCGTTAGTGAGCGACTCAAAATGCCAAAAACATTTGATGGCTCTAAGGATCCGTAATTTTTACACAGGGCGAGAACACTATTTTTTAATAATATATGCGCATTAAAAATTCAGTAACTCTAGGTGGTGCCATTTTGCCACAGAGCGAGGAATACAGTACATACAGGCATACAGATTCTTGAAAGGGTTCAAGTATCCAGACAATAAAAAATGGGTTCAAAGTTCTATTTTAATTTAGTTGGTTTTCATAAAATCTTCATTTATTGTAGGAAAGACTTCGAAATTTCGCTCTAATCTCATGCTAAACAAGTTGAAGTACCGATTTACAATCCGCAAAATAAATGCTAGACATCTATTATGTTCATCAAACACAGAGTTTTTGGATTAGAATGTTAAGTGCAGTGCTTATCAGAATTAAAGAACAATCTCCCAAAAAAATATGCACGCTGGTTAAAAATTTCAGCAATGTCCAATAATGTATTATTTATAGTAGTTATTTGCAATTGAATTCAAAATTAGGAGGGGTTAACGCATGAAATATCAAACAAGAATAGTGTGTAGTTTTACAATTCAATTTTTAAAAATCATATGGTGACAACCAAATTGGAAAATGATTCGGGTACAACGGACAAGTGATACGGACAAAGGAAGTGCTTCGACACAAGTAGCACTTCTCATGCTAAAACAGATGTTCCGCACTGACTACCAATAAGTATTTGAACACCTGTGATAGAAAAGAAAAACTAATTTTATTCAAAATCAATAGTTGGTAGAGCCTCCACGAGAGGTAATTACAGCGTGGACCCTCCGGGGTATACACTACACAAGTCTTTGTATGACAGCTAGTGGTATTTTCTTACACTCGGCTTGGAGAAGACATAGAAGTTCCTTCACCGATTTTGCACGGGTAGTGTACCCCTGAATTCGGCGATGCAACTCCTCCCAGAGGTTCTCGATAGGGTTCAGGTCTGGACTCTGGGCAGGCCAGACCATTCGATGAACTCCATTGGCACCATACCAAGCCTTGGTTAACGTCGAACCATGAGAACCGGCATTGTCGTCCTGAAAATAACAGGGGTCTAACCCGTAAAACTGCCACAACGTAGGAAGCACATTGTCATCCAAAATAGTGCAGTAGGCATCGGAGTTGAGCTTACCATGAATGGGGACCAAGGGTCCCAGCCCATACTAGGAGAAACACCCCCAGACCATAATTCCACCTCCGCCGAACTTGATTGTTGGCACAATGCATTCTGGCAGGAGACGTTCTCCAGGTCGATGCCAGACCCAGACTCTGCCATCCGAACGGTAAAGGGTGAACCTTGATTCGTCACTCCAAAGAACCCGTTTCCACTGATCTACGGTCCCATTTCGATGTGCTTTGCACCACATTAACCGAGCAGCGCGGTTGGACTTTGTGATCAAAGGCTTACGGGCAGCAGCACGACCATGAAAACCAAGCAGATGTCTTTCCTTACGGATGGTATTCATTGAAACAATACTCCCGGATGAGAGCCATCGGTTGGGTGCGGTTCTTCCGAATTTCTCTGGACAGCACTCGTCGATCTCTATCTCCCAGTTTCGTTGGTCTGCCGACTAGGGGCACATTCCGACAATCACCGCTCACCTTCCACTTCTTAATCACATAGGCCACTGTCGATTTTGGGTACTTCAGATCGCTAGATATGTCCCTTAAGGATCGGCCATATTTGTGATACCCGATAATTATACCTTTCTCGAAATCAGAGAGCTCCGAACTGCGAGGCATCTTGCATGCGACTAAAGCCGATGCTGTTTCCTACACGATATATACCGGCGGAGTCCGTGAAATACCTTAGGACCGCAGATATCGTCATTTGCATAGGTGTCCAAATACTTATTGGTAGTCAGTGCGTAAAACAGTTACCTGATGCTGTATGGAATTGAATTCCACATCCAAACAAAAATATGTGCTGCATCATTTTTCACTTTCCCTTCTTACACATACTTTAGAATTAAATGAAATAAAAATTTCATCTATTTTATCTATTTAATATTGTGTTTATCATTTTCGTTTTATGCATAACAATTTCTATTTGTTTGGGGTTAAAAGTAAAAACACAATGTACTGTTATAAAATTTAAACAAGCAATCATATGTGATCTCGGAACGATTAATTCATTTTACTATAATTTTTACAGTGAAAAAGTGGTTAGCATATCTTTAGAATTCCCGATAGACAGTCTCGCGCGCTGGAGATAAAACTGTTTTATTCCCTACAGTGTTGCCACTGCTCGGTTTGTAATGGTTGAGTTTGTTAATCAAAATTCGGTAAAGTTTTACTAATAGGAAGAAGACAATAAACAAAATTCCAAATCCAGGCTTCCAGGTGCTCATATTCGGGTGGAGGACTACGTTATTTAAAATTCGATGGCTCTAGATTCTAGCTAAAATACGAGAAACATAAATAAATACATTCATGCAGATTCTACATTATTTAATTTCTTTAAATGTTATACAGAACGATAATATTTCGGTGGCAACAATCTGAAAAGCGATATAGCCGTTTCTAGTGATTCGACGCGAAATACCGTTTCGAGACTAAAAACTCTTCTGGGTAACACCCATTTGAGCTAAGTACGAGTATTTGAACAAAAGCATAATCTAACGTAAACTACCATGTTTGCCAATTGAATAGTTTCAAAATATTCAAGTTAGATTTACAGAAATGTAACTCGGATGTAAAAATGGTCTCCTCTGATTTAATATTTCATGAATAGGGATTTCATTGTATGGTCACTTCTAATAGAAATGCAAGGTTTACATTTGGAGTTACAAAAGTTAGCAAACTGTAGACCAAAATTTGTCAAACTGCTCACTATTCTTGTTTGGTATTTCATGCGATAACCTCTCCTAAATTTGAATTCAATTGCAAATAATTACTATAAATAGTATATTGGACATTGCTGAAACTTTTAACCAGCGTGCATATTTTTTTGGGAGATTGTTCTTTAATTCTGATAAAACACTGCACTTAGCATTCTAATCCAAAACCTCTGTGTCTGATCAACATAATAGTGATGTCTAGCATTTATTTTGCGGATTGTAAATCGATACTTCAATTGATTTAGCATGAGATTTGGGCGAAATTTCGAAAGTCTTCCATACAATAAATGAAGCAAGTATCAAAACCAACTCAATTAAAATATAACTGAACCATTTTTTTTTTTTTTTTTTTTTTTTTTTTTTTTGTCTGGGTACTTGAACTATTACAATAGTTTTAAAGTTATTCAGCAATTTGAATACTCCAGCATTCGTTTGTGAAAATGCAGTAAATGTTTGTTAGGCTGACTTACAATTCTTTGTTCTTCGGCCTCCTTTTTGGCTTTCTCCGCCGCCTTTTTGGCGAGCATTTGTCTTTTCCACGGAGGGATTACGCAGCCGTTGGCGTCCACCTCTGGGATCTGATCCACGAAATTTTCAGCCTTGAAGTTTTGAGCAATATCTGCAGTCTGCTTTTTCAAAGAAAAAAAAAGTGTACGTTATATTCATAACAGAATTACGTAGACAAACACACAAACACACATACAAGAAAAAGAGACAGATTTATTTATTTATAGATTTTGGGACTCCTGGAGTCATGCTGTTCGTGTTTCAGCGTGTTGGGGTTGAAATGGTGGGACAAGTATTGATTTGAGGTTTATTAAAAGTTTAAAATTTTATTTGTAAGTCTCTGTCATTGTCATTTCAGAAGCGGACTGTGCCATTGACCTCTCTAGCAATACCAACCGTCTTTACAATGATTCCAAGAGATGTAAGTTCTTTGCATTTAATTTTTTTTTAATTTTCATTGTTTTTGCATATGTTGTAAATTGATCGCAGACATAGCCGACAGCCACTTAATCGACAAGACATTAAGCCGACGGTTTGTTTGACCGAAAAGTTTAGCAGACAGCGCGTTTAGCCCAGAATGGATGCATTTAGCCAAACAAATGCGACAATGTTACAGTTAAATTTGTCCATAGCTATCCAACAATTAATAATAGAGATTTCTATCATAGTTCAAATTATCATAGTTCATAGTATCACAGTTCTTCCTATCAATAACAAAATTGCTCAGACTCTCCGAAAGCTGAATACTTAAGTCATTTTTTTTTACCTATCAATAAAATTCGTTGTCTGATTCTTAAAAATCCCATCTCTGTTTTTCCTTCTTTTTCTAAATTCGGCCCCATTGGGTCATAGTTAAGGGGGCTCATACACCTTAAACCCCTCATGATCTTCGAATATGTGACTGTTGCAAGAATTTGGATATTTTATTTATTTTAAAAGCAATTACTTCCAACTTTTTGCAGCTGACTACATAATATAGCTGCTTTGGAAACTAGTAACCAGAAAGTTTGTGTTGCCACAAATATTTTTGTAATTTAATCCGCTATGTGACAAAATATTTCGCCCTGTTTCCACCTCGCGCGCGTGATATTTTAAAAATGGCTAATGGTACATACTTGAAATTTTATTGAATTCTTTATATGGGCACTATTTTCTAACTGAACCAACAATCTGATGAATATTTTAATATTGAAAATATTTTATGGACGAAAAAATTACAAATTTTATTAATAAAATACATTTTATAAACTCAATTCGAAATAAAATAAAAATTTAACATGAAATTTTTAGAATTTTAGGTTCACAGTAGTTTCCGAATGTTATAAAAGCTCTATATTAAGTATGGAATTAAATTACGAAACAGAATAATTTAAACTGCGCGCGCAAGTTGGAAACATGACGAAAAATGTTGTCACAAAGCGGATTAAATTATAAAAATATTTGTGGCAACACAAACTTTCTGATTACTATTTCAGAAAGCAGCTATATTATGTAGTCAGCTGTAAAACGTTGGTAGTAATTGCTTTTAAAATAAATAAGTTATCCCAATTCTTGCAACAGTCACCTATTCGAACATCTTATGGGTTATAAGGTGTACGCGTCCCCTTAAGGGATTTTATTGATGGGACTTCAAAGTCCGTAGGGAAAATAAAGGGTTAAACCCTGCTCAGGTGAGTAGGATTGGCTTCTGTTTAGTTTAAAAAAAGCCGAGTGCAGCGGCTTTCCCTTACGAAGTGCCGGCTTTGCTCGACTCCGAATCATTTACATTCGAAGAAGTGCCTAACCTGTGAGGCTTCCTGTTTGTACTAATTTGAATTAATAGTCGTTGATGTAAATAAAGTAATACGCACTAAAGCGATCAGTTAAAGAAAAATAATTTATTAGCGAGATGAACATTTTAGAGAAGTTAGATACTGCTAGACATCCATCTAGAAAAATAAATTCTTTTAATAAATCAAAATATGTACACAGCGATAGAATAACATTAATCTCAGTGACAGGAGTGTGCACGAACTTATAACAACAGAAGGCAAACGTTCTTTTTTTGCAGTCCTGCAGAGATGAGATTCTTATTCGCATACGCGAGGAGGAGCATTCGAGGCGCTGAAGAAATGTGGGTGGGAAGGTAACCCCATAGAAGTTTCAAAAGTTACATTGAAGTTCAATAAGTAGGCGGAGCATAGGATTTAAAGTACATGCTACTAAAGTTTGATGTTCTATGCACTCTACACTGACTACCAATAAGTATTTGGACACCTAAGAAAATGACGATATCTGCGGTCCTAAGGTACATCACGTACTCAGCCGATATATATCGTGTAGGAAACAGCATCAGCTCTAGTCGCATGCAAGATGCCTCGCAATTCGGAGCTCTCTGATTTCTAGAAAGGTATAATTATCGGGTATCACAAATGTGTCGATCCTTAAGGGACATATCTAGCGATCTGAAGTACCCAAAATCGACAGTGGCCTATGTGATTAAGAAGTGGAAGGTGAGCGGTGATTGTCGGAATGTGCCCCTAGTCGGCAGACCAAAAAAACTGGGAGATAAGGATCGACAAGTGCTGTCCAGAGAAATTCGGAAGAACCGCTACCAACCGATGGCCCTCATCCGCGAGGAGTTTCAACAGGCATCCGGGAGTATTGTTTCAATGAATACCATCCGTAAGGAAGAACATCTGCTTGGTTTTCATGGTCGTGCTGCTGCCCATAAGCCTTTGATCACAAAGTCTAACCGGGCTGCTCGGTTAATGTGGTGCAAAAAGCACATCGAAATTGGACCCTAGATCAGTGGAAACGGGTTCTTTGGAGTGACGAATCAAGGTTCACCCTTTACCGTTCGGATGGCAGAGTCTGGGTCTGGCATCGACCTGGAGAACGTCTCCTGCCAGAATGCATTGTGCCAACAGTCAAGTTCGGCGGAGGTGGAATTATGGTCTGGGGATGTTTCTCCTAGTATGGGCTGGGACATTTGGTCCCCATTCATGGTAAGCTCAACTCCGATGCCTACTGCACTATTTTGGATGACAATGCGCTTGCTACGTTGTGGCAGTTTTACGGGTTGGACCCCTGTTACTTTCAGGACGACAATGCCAGTTGTCATGTTTCGACGTTAACCAAGGCTTGGTATGGTGCCAATGGAGTTCATCGAATGGATTGGCCTGTCCAAAGTCCAGACCTGAACCCTATCGAGAACCTCTGGGACGAGTTGCATCGCCGAATTCAGGGGGTGCACTACCCGTGCAAAATCGGTGAAGGAACTTCTATGTCTTCTCCAAGCCGAGTGGAAGAAAATACCACTAGCTGTCATACAAAGACTTGTGGAAAGTATGCCCCAGAGGGTCCACGCTGTAATTACCTCTCGTGGAGGCTCTACCGACTATTGATTTTGAATAAAGTTAGTTTTTCTTTTCTATCACAGGTGTCCAAATACTTAGTGGTAGTCAATGTATAGAAGTTGCCACCCAGACGGTACAGTGCTTAAGAGAGCCTACTGCGGTAGCGAAGGGTCCGAGTTTGAATCCCGGAGAAGGCGACGGTTCCTCATAGAGACAACAATAGCCCCACCTATTAGGTGCCTCCATAGTAAAGTGGGGACCACTTCTGGCCTTGCAAAAATTCAAGCTACTTTCTTAATATATACAGGGTCTTTCATAGATCATGGGACGAACTTGGAGGGGTGATGGAGCTTACTAAAACGTGCATATTTTGTTTAGGAATGTAGGATCTAAAGTGAAGGGTTAAGGCAGGAACGCAAAAAAACGACACGACAGGAAAATGCGTTTATGTACAAAAATCAACGCAAAGTGCTTCTTTGCAGCAAAACAGTATTCACAATAAATGTTCAAAAAAGGGAACACTAACAGTAATAGGAACTACAGCTGTGATTGGCTGGCAATGCAGTGGCAGATGGCGGTAGTGAGCCGGGCAAACCCCGATCCGATGCACCAGAAGATCATTCGCAACTCTGATGTCGAGCGTGATGGGTGAGTTTACGCACAGGGAAAAGCTGACATGTATCTCATGTATGGTGCTGCTAATAAGAACGGCAGAGCAGCGCTACGGTTGCACCAGGAACGGTTTCCGAACAGGCGTATGCCGAAGCACACAATGTTCGAGAGGTTGCATCGGGCTCTGTGTGAAAACGGGTCATTTGAAGCCACCTCTGACACTAGGCGTGGAGGATGAAGGGCACGACAACCTCGCATTGAAGAATCCATCTTGAACATTGTGCATGAATCACCTCACACAAGTACAAGAGCTATTGCACGTCGTCTGCAGCTGAGTCATTCCACCAGAGTATTGCATGAAAATGGTTTGCACCTATACCATTTGCAGAGAGTCCAAGCCTTGCAAGAGACAGATTACCCTCTTCGAGTTCATTTCTGTCATTGGTTCTTGCAGGCAGTGTGCGGCGCAGGCGGATTTCCCATCGGATGTGCTATTCACGGACGAGGCAACTTTCTCACAGGACGGCATCTTCAATAGCCACAACATGCACGTGTGGGCAACTCATAATCCACACCGCACACGTCCACATGCGTTCCAAACCCGCTTCTCCATTAATGTGTGGGCGGGTATTGTCAACGACTACCTCATAGGCCCATACCACTTACCTACACGTACAAATGGCTTATGTTGTCATATTTTTCTGCAAGAGGTGCTACTGGAATTGCTGCAGGGTGTTCCGGCTGTCGTTCGTGATCGCAATGTGGTCCCAGCATGATGGTGCACTAGCCCATAACCACGTGCGGGTCCGCAATTACTTGGATGGGACATTTCCAGACCGATGGTTAGCCGTGGTGGACCCGTTCGTTGGCCTCCCGTTCGCCAGATTTATCCATCTTGGATTTTTTTATGGGGCCATCTGAACGATGCATCATTTACGAGACTCCCGTTGACTCACTGAAGGACCTCGTTGCGGCTGCAAGCGTGCGTGCCTGTCGTTTTTCAAAATGTTCGTCGATCCATTCTGCGACATGCATGTATTACGGCTGTTGGTCGCAATTTTGAACATTTATTGTGAATGCTGTATTGCTACAAAGAAGCACTTTGTGTTGATTTTTGTACATAAACGCATTTTCCTCTCGTGTCGTTTTTTTGTGTTCCTGCCTTAACCTGCACTTTAGACCCTACATTCCTATAACAAATGCATGTTTTAGTACGTTCCACCACCCCTCCAAGTTTGTCCCCATGATCTGTGAAACACACTGTATAATTTTTCTTTTCGGAATAGAAATCGTGTAATAGATCATCTTTCTCAATAAGTGACAAAACGTGGTTAGCAATAAATGTTACAGACATGCTTGTCCGATGCCAAGACTTCAGTGCCTTTTATGTAAGGATATGCTAATTTTTTATCTTAAAAAACGATGGAATGAACTGCTTCCCTCTTATAGAAGACACAATGATTATGATGCATGTCCTGTTGGATGACTGTGTGGAGGATATCCTAAAGGAAACCAATGATGCCGAAATACCAATATTCAGCGACTTTACCGCTTGGCCATTCGTAAGCTGCAGGATTGAGATTGAGATTGCTGGAGTGCTCCCCACCCACCTGATCACGAAGTGATCTTATGATCTTAAAGGGGCACCCACGTAACCTGCAGGATATGATAATGCTACCCTTAAAGCCCTATAGTGGCCGAATGGTTAAAACCGCTGAGTGCGGGTCGTTCGACCCAAGTTCAAATTTAGGCGAACGAGCAAGTTGCATTGTTAAGTGTAGTTTGAAAGAGACAATTTTCCTTAAAAAATCCTCCACGAAGGCTGCGTTAGGATTTTTGGATATGTTAAAGCCACAAAAGCTACATATCTAGTATGGAGAGGCTAGCTCGTATTGACGTTACACATGGTCAAAACCAAACATGTAGCCAGCCAGTTCGCCTTGGATAGAATCCAAAGCTGGTCGAACTACCAATATTCAGCGGTCTTAATCACTCGCCGCCTTAGGCAGATAGCCCTCGTGTGCTTTCTCATTAGCAAGTAACATAATTTAAAATCTTTAAATGAGGTAACTCTCTAAAACAATGGTCCCAAACTTAAGGTCTGCAGACCACGTGCAGCTCCAAAAAGCAATTTCGCACTGCCTACGAAGATATTTCAATTATGTAATGGTTACAAGTAAAGTATTGCAAAGATTGCAAGATTTTGGTTATTTTCATTTACTGAACTTGAATAACAGCCAAAAATATCTATAAATAGAACTAATTAATTCATAGTATCAGATAAACTTTATTCAGAGGTATGAGATGCAGATTTGATTAACTTCTTATTTGTGTTTGTCAAAAAAATAAATCAATTCAGTTGCGAATTTTTGCACTAAGAAAAATTTCTCTTCTTTGCAAACATGTTTACTACTTCTATGCGAACTTTTTTATTTTCAGAGTTTTAAGAAAAACGTCAGTTGGGTTGATTGACCAATGGGCATCTGCAGTGAGAGATGAAGATAGTTTAGTTATTTCTCTCCGAGGTTGCTAACTTTATCAGAATCGAAATAAATATCAAGCTGTAGTAGAAATAATGAAGTTTGTACTTATTTATCTAAAAAAGTATGTATTTTTATTTATGCATAAGAAAAATTTAATAAGTAAGGGAAAGAGACTATTTAGTTTTTATTTCACATTTTTGTTGTTTCACTTGGTACATTTTTTCTGAAAACTTACAAAGGTGTAATTTGTATAATTAAAGTAAATTGTTAAATGATTAATTAAATATGTTATAATTATTTGAAAGAAATGCAAGTCTAAGAATTTAATATTTAGCTGTCGGTATATTTGATTTACAAAGTGTAACCAAAAAAATGTTTTGCAGGGACCAAACTAAAGACAATAAATTTGTAAAAAGACATTAATTTAAGAATTTACTATGCTTTCATGGTTCAACATCTCCATTCGCCGGTTCGTATCACGTGACCCCAAGTAATCTCATCTCACATAAACTACGCTATAAAAATCTAATTCTCTCAGTCATTATCTACATTAATTTCAAGTTAAATTTTAATTTGGAATAAAAGTTTAAATGCAAAAATTATTTCAATTCGTACGAATAGCTTTCAGAAATTATGTAAAACCGCAGTGCTTTACTTCGCTAGTGCATTCTCATTAGAATGGATGAATTTAACTCTTGATTTTGCCTTTTCTAGATTTTCGCTTTCGGGTGAGCGGTGTGATTGCATTCTAATTGACTCGATTACCTCGAATCGTCTTAGGGCATAAAATTGAACTCTCTTGTAAAACTTCTATGTAATTCTATGCCAGTATTGAAAGAAACAACCAATCTGGTAAGAAATGGTTGCGACTTGTTTTGAAAATGAGGCGTAAAAGGTTACCAGTGAAGATATTCCATTTGGCATCAGTTGTACCATTATTGGCGACTTTATCGTTTGCGCCGGCAAAACCGAAAAGTATCCAAAACTTAAAATTTATTTTGATGATTTAAGCACTTTTAAAGGTTTTAAAATTTCATTTGTTAAACAATGATAGAAGAAAAAAATTATGGCCCGTAAACTGTTTTTTCTCTTGTACACTTGGCCCACAAGCATTTTAGTTTTTTAAATAATTGGATTACGCTCATTTTTATCTTTTTTTAAATTAATGTTAGTTTATTATACTTAATTCATTAAAAAATATAACGAATATTTTAGCAAGTTTTGTCTTCTGAAATTTTAGTGTGTTTGTGTCTGTGATTATTGCAAAGCCTCGAGGGCTATCTGCCTAAGGGGAGGGATGCCTTCGTGGAGGACTTTCTAAGGGAAACTGGCTCGTACACACGTTACACATGGGGAAAACCGGGAAAACGCCCATGCAGCCAGCCCGTTCACGGCATCTGAAATTTTAGTAAAAGTTTAAATTACAATAATAAACTGATATCAATACCCGATAAAATATTCGCTGTTTTAAGTTCACTTTTTATGTACAGATTTAATTTGAGCTTCTGTAAGAAATATGCTACTATTTTCAGTAAATACTACAAAAAAAGGATGTGAAGAATCAAAATAAACTTACTATTTCCTCTTCTATTCTGCTTCTTTCTTCTTTCATTTTCCGAACACCTTGAATATCCTTAGTCTGCTTCAACTCGGCAATCAAATCATTTTTTTGTAGAAGTACCGTCCGCTCTGAAATAAGACGGTTAGGAATGTAGAACAATTTTATCACAGAATACAAATTGAAAAGCTTAATCCGATTAAACATTCAGAAAATGCAAGAAAGTCACATTTTTAAGCTTATAACAGACTTCTTATCGACTTTAATTTAAGGCTTTGAGGTTAAATAAATTCTTAAGAAAAACACCTTTACCATTATGAATTATTTAGAAGCTTGAAGATATTTATACATTCTGAAAATTCTTGAACATCAGTTTGATTAACTTTGTTTTCAGCAGCACAGTCTTCAGGCTATCATGATATAATGGTGAAGACAGCTTCACGGCTAAGCACCAAAGTACAGCTTCCGACTCGGTCGATCACGCTCCAGCTAATCTCTAAACACTACTACTGAACATAGTAATTGATACTCCGATTACAGGTAGATATATATATATATATATATATCTTTTGACCTGCCTTCGAGAAAATTCTAGCGGAAACCAGTAAGAATTCGTTCTAGAATGTTCTCCCTCTGCCTATGACATATCGCCGATATTGTTGCCAAATCTGACAACCCTGCCTTTCCTTGCCCCTTTCTAGCAACCCTAATGCGGGAACTTTGTTCTTCTTTGCTAGCTTGATCTAGGGTTGCTAGAAAATGACAAGGAAAGGTAGTGTTGTCAGATTTAGCAAAAAAATCGGCGATATGTCACAGACAGAGGGAGAACATTCTAGAACGAATTCTTATTGGTTTCCTAAATCTTTCCTTTATACAATGGTCACGTCAGGCGTACCAGGGACTGTACTGGTACTGTCAAGTTTGACCCGTAATGTGTGGTTGGTATATATTTTTAGATTGGGAAAATAGGAAAGCCCATTTTTTATGTCCTTTCATTATCCTGTGCTCTCTCTCTCTATATATATATATCATCTTGTGTGATCAATTCTTCAGAGAAAGGGAAGATCCTGGCCGCTTCTATTTTATATACCCTCTAACCGAGAGATTTCACATTAAGTACCCAAGTAACTATACCAGATTTAAAAGATCCTTTGTGCACCATCGAAAGATACATAAGAGACTTATATCCATCGTCGATTATCTACACCAACAAGGCTTCAACCGATCTCACCCACAGACTCTACTTTCAAATGTACCTTCAGTGGTTCCATAAAACACTTCTTGTAACCTTTATAAAATTGTAAATAAACTGTCAATTGGGGGCCCGTAAAGAATCTAGATTGGTTACTTGGGCCGAGGCTTTACCAATTTTGAACCAATGACGCTGTTTTGATGCCCCACATACTTATACATGATCAGACCTATGTAACTAAACTAAATTATCAAAAGCGAAATGACTGCGATTCTTCGGCTGACACCGAATTGCACCGATTTCAAACGAAAACGAACTGGTTTATTTTATCTATCGAAAAACTTAAAAATTTAAAAGCCAGTCTCTGGAAGACATAAAACGTGGTTTTCCCTTTCCTACATAAAACAAACGTCGCAAGTAAATAATTTAGAATTAACTATAAATTTTCTATTTTTTCTATTATTTAAATTACTATTTGTTTCTTTTGAAATGTTAAAAAAAATTCATATGCTTGTGAATTTTATGTTTTTGCAATTATCACTTATTTTTTTATTTAAAATCAAGCATCTGTTCCAAGATATATATTAATTTAAAGCATTTGCAACTTTATCGTTTTCTCAAAAATTCTTTAATTAAAAAAGATTTTACAAAATTAACGACAGACTATGAGGGAATTAAAAATTACGACTTATTTCAAACTATTCCCACTTTACAAGTGTGTGTTACTGTCACTGTATGAAAGCCGTCATTCTCTAGAATACCTCGGCATTTTATAGAGTGCCTAAATCTGGCCGACAGTGTATGAAAGTATTAATATTTCAGACATTTCCTAGGCATTCTACAAAATGCCAAATGACAAAACCACAAAGTACGGAATACATCTCCTATTCGTTTCGAATATCCGTACATTTCATCTGACTTTTCATGACCTTTTCTTCCATACTTTGTCTAAATAGTACTTGCCATTGTATAGAATACCTAGGTATTATAAACAATGCCTATAAAAGTAAGTAATAATTTAACTATTTCATACTTTGCCTATAGAGCCAGGGATTCTATAAAATGCCTAGGTATTCTATAGAATGCCGGTAACATATATATCAGAAATTATATTCCCGGTAAAAGTGAATAATTTCTTTCCTGATTCGTGAGTTGAAACAACAATATAAGAAACAGAAAATTACTACCTGGCGTTGATGGTTTGTCCGTCTTCTTCAGATGTACAGTTTGCAACTGCTCTACGGTGATATTAAACACAGGAGTATTACTATTGCTGTTGCTGTTCGTTAAGGGTGGATGTGATTTCTGCTCTTGCTCTCTGAAATTCATTTCATTTTGGTTACTATGAGCAAAATGGGACCTCGAATCACTTTCCAGTAACGTTTCGTGGCTTTCCGTTCGACTGCCAAAAGATATCTTTTCTGGTTTAGACGCCATGGCCAGTTCACCTAAAGACACAGCTCGATGGAGTGTGGAATTTGACTTCAGAGTTGAATTCTTGGAGGAACTCTTGGCTTGCCGCAGATATTCAGAGGGACGAATGTTTTCGTTCGTGTCTGGAGGAAAGCTAAACTGTGGAGGAATGAAAGGTAGTGTTCTCTGATGACTATTTTTTCTACTGGCAGTTGCTTTTACGTAACGTTTCCCTTCGCTGCCATCCACTGAAGATTCGTCTGACTTTTGGGATGACCTGTCGTCGTCTGGATGACATTTGGAATCATCGGACTTGGGAAGAACCTTGATTTCTTTAAGAGGAGGCAAGTCTGGTGGTGGTGGAGGAGGAGGAGCTTTGGATTTGTTGACTTCGTCTTCAGATTTAAGCTGGTTGTTCTTGGGCAAAGGGGGAGGAGATGGGGGTTTTACGACAGGCTTGGGTTCTTCAATTTTTTTCGCTGGCAGGGGAGGTGGAGGAGGTGGAGGTTGAGAAACCGTTGATTCTACAACTTTTCTCTCACCTCTGGGTTGAGCAGTTGGCTGTCGGGTGAGCGTTCCGCTGTTACTGTTAAGACCATTCCTCTTCCGTGATTCTTCTTGTGGTGACTTCTCCATTTTAAGAGTACCATTCTGTTTTAGAGTGTTGTTATTGTTCTCCGTCGCCGTTTTCTTGTTGTCGTCATGAGTGGCATCGATGGGGTTGGATGCTCTCCGAGACACTTGTAATACGGGATTGCCGCCTCCAAATGGGCCTTCTAATTCTGGAGGCGGCCTTTTGTTTCGGATGGCCACCAGATCCTCCTGGTGGTGAGGAGAGAAACTGACCTCATTGTCATGCAGCTCGTCCTCATCGTCCTCTTCGTCTTCTGGATGGTGTGGAACAAGGCGGTGCATCTCGTCCTCATCTAGCTCATCATCGACATCCTCCTCTTCCTCTACGTCATCTTCTTCATCTTCCCCCTCGTGGTAAATGCCTTCGTCAGTGCTCAGACTGCTGGCCTCACGGCTAGTCTTCTTCACACGACTGTGCGTGTTGTTATTATTGTTGTTGTTCCCAGTGCTGCTAGACTGACTTCCCTGGTCATCATAATCGGGAATAGGATCGCTCACATCAGATACGCTATTGGAATCCTCACTGGCTGACGAATGATGGACTTCGACGGTCACTGTTAAAGAAAAACAATATTGTGTGAGTTTCTAAAGCATACCAAAACCCTCATTACAAATTTTCGCGATACATTAATCATAACGGTTCAGCTTATTTTATTTAACAATTTTCAAAAAGAGTAGGATCAGTGTACAGGCGTTCCTCTTATAACACGGTTTCGCTCAAATTGCGGAAAGCCTCATATAGCGTGGTTTCGTTTTAGCACTTTAAAATGAGCACGCGTAAATCCTCTTATAACACTTTATGCCTGTACATACTTCGATAACACGATTTTTATTTTAAACATTTGCGGTTGCCCACAAGAGTTGTTGATGATGATGGCTGCTTGCTCTGAGTGTTCGTGGCGACGTCTATGGGCATTTGACACTTATGGCCATCTATGGGTGGATGGAAGTGCGATGACAGAGTCCCGTTGACCTTCACAAACAAGTTACTGCTGGGGGTAGCACTCGAGGTCATGTCATGATTGTAAAATGGTCTACCACCATCACAGAAGAGCTTCTATTGCGGCGGCTTAAAGGATTTAATCAAATTGCGGGCGTTATTGAGGGCTCTCTCACAGACGCCGTGCATTTCCAAAGTTAAGTATTATGCCATCATATGTAGTACACAATAACTGTCTATGGTGTCATAGTTACAAATACGGGAAAAGTTTGCATCTTAAATTTTATGAAAATGGTCGATTTCTAGGTAGCAGACCTCAGATTAAGTATTTTGCTTTTCAAATTACAATAGCTTTCATGTGTGTCTCCAGCCGCTATATGGTTGGTGACGATGACTACCGTGCCCGTGGGCCGGGGCTCGAATCTCGTAGCAGGCATGGATGTTTATAAGCGCATACTGTCTCCACGGCAAGGTGGTACTCAGCATACTCAACGAGCCGAAAGGCATTTCGAGAGGTTGGTAGTTTAAAAAAGAGTGTGAGAGATCTTCGGATCGCCCCCACCAGCAAGCTTTTTGTGAAAATTGTGGCGGAACTGCACCGTTAGTGAGGCAGGACTGGCGTTTACCTGTAACTGGCATTACTGTATTCCCCTCCAGAAGTAAGTCTCGAAGTGACGGAGGGTCGCAATGAATGGTCCTTCGGGGCTACGAGGTCAATGGGCAGACGACTGGTTGAGGCTTTAATACGCCAAGTTTGCCAGTTATAATGGAAATAAACTTAATGCCTTCGCAGTTTAATTGGACGAGACAAAAATATTTGTTCGTTATTTCCGGAATTCGTCATAACCGGGCTCGACTGTATTCTCATTTATGAAACTCATCATTTTGTAGTCTATAGGAAAAAATCGGGCGGCATCAAAAGTTTCGCGTGTTACAGAGGGGTTCGACTGTACATCATTATTATAGAAAAAAACTAGGCAGGATCAAAATATTTGTTCGTTACAACGGGGTTCGAATGTATGTGACTGGTGCATTTATATTTATCTTAATATAGCAATTGATATTTCTTACCAATTTGCGAGCCATTATTGTTATTAACATTGCTGTTGTTCATATTGCTATCCGGCATGTCCACTTCATCCTTGGTGGTCTTTTTCGTTTTGTTGTCAAACAGCTTCTTGACTCTGTCATCCGATGTCATATTGGGTTCATGCAAGAAGAAAGGTTCTTGGGAACCGTTCACATTATCCGTCTGGGGGCGGGTCGTTCCTTCGTGAATGCTTCCCGTGCCCCCGTTGTACCCGGAATCCATCCTCTTGGAATGATTGGAGGATCCGCTGGAACATCGCTTGTGGTTGGGGTTGTTGGCTTTGCAGACCCTCTCCTGGGAATGGTGTCTGTGACCATTAGTGTGAGGAGCACGAGCAGGATGATGTGAGCTATAAAAGTTCCATCCAGACAGAACAGTATGAGGAGCACCCCGACCGCCAGGGCCTTGCAGTGATGAACGGGTACTGCTAGTAGTAGTATCCGATGGATAATCGTCTGTCAAACTGCAGCTTTCTTCAGAGCCAGTAGACTGGCATGAACAACCATCAGAATCCTATACGAAGGAATCATCATTTAAAATTTTAAATTTATAAGTGTATTAAATCAAAGGGAAAGTTGTTTGAAAACTATAGAATTAAAGACAATAACAGATGATGGAAGACGGGAATACTTGATGTATAAAAATGTAAACAGCTATTTGATCCCTCGTCTTCCACTATCTGGATATACTAACACCTCCGGTGAGGTCCTTACGTCACTGCACTGGGAGTTATTAATAGAAGATTCATACATAAGTATGGAGGTGTCAGAGATTCTCCTCATGTACAGGGAGTGTTTACACATTTTGAGAATGATTTCGACAAAGAATTTTAAAAAGTGTTTTCGAATAAAAATTTCTTTAACGATATATTATTTGAAATGAGAAATATCGTCTGCGAGTTTTAAATTCATTTTGCTTTCAAAGTGTTCAAAATACTTCGAAATTGTAAAAACTACATGTACACTGTTGAAAAAAAAAAAAAAAGTGGGGCAGCTCTGTATCTCTCGTTCTACTGGGCAGATCGAACTTCAAATTGCGTGTTTCATGTCTCGAATGCGCGATTTAAAATATGTATTAGATTTATATATAGCATTGTTCTAATATAGGTATTTTGACACAAAATCGGAATTTTTTTTCTGAAATAACATACCAACTTTTTCCATATTTCGATTCTACGACTCAAATTATGCCTAGATATTAAATTTTGTAATTTTTGGTGAGAAATTTAAAAATTTACCTTGGCGCATTTTTGTTCAGTTTGCGCCAAGGATAATTCACTTGGCGAACTTCTTAATTTATAGGAACGTATTTCCCTTTTCTTTCCATTTACCGGAGCGGAATAAAAGGCACCTTTCACTTTTTGTACATTGTGCACGAGCGGAAAAGAAGTCATCGTTCATAATTTCAAATAATTTTAACAAAGTGCCACATTAAAAAATCACATTTGGCGATTTTATCGCTTATAACAAATATGCCAAATTTCAAAAGTCGCCAATATGTAAATTCACGTACTACATCTAAGGAAATTTTGAATAAAAAACTAATTTTTTGCAGGTGTGCCTAGAAAGACATCTACTTTAAGGTGATGTTAAAAATTTTATAGATTACAACACATAAATTTTTCAAAAAACTTATAAAAAATATTTTAAAATACAAATTAAAAAAATAAGTCGTAGTAAAATATGTGCGAATTGGATTAAGCCTAAATTTCGAATTATAGAAGAAGGAAACAAGTAAATTTGATAAAAAAAAGAGATATTAATAAATATATATCAAATTCAATTAACACTGAAGAGCTGAAATTTTGAGAGTTCATTTTTAAAAACTACTCGTGCGATTTTTACAAAACTTCACAGGGTGACATAACTTGAGTCGTAGAATCGAAATATGGAAAAAAAATGGCACGTCATTTCAGAAAAAGTCCGATTTTGAGTCAAAATACCTATATTAGAGCAATCATACCTACAAATCTAATACAATATTTTATATACAAGTCCGCTTTCGAGACATAAAAGACGCAAGTTGAAAACTTTTGCATTTTCTTAATTATTATAAAAATGTATGAAAATACCTGTTTATAAGTTTTCTAGTTATATATATGTTAAATTAGTTAAATCCCATTGCTTGTTTTGAAGGATATTGTTTCTTGTCGGTTAATATTATCAAAATAGCTGTGGACAAAAAGGTCATCAGATTAAACGGCGTCTTCTGTATATTCAGCGACATTTACATAAACCGGACGGAGTCATTAACGGTCAGCTGCAGTTCCATAAACTTGTTTTCTTTTCCACAAGGGAAAGCAATAAAGACGCGGCTTAACTTTCTTTGCTACCGTTTCCTCCTTTCATTTATTTCTTTATTCGAAAATTCGAAGAAGCATATAATCATGGAACCTTTCCCCGAAGTGGAAACAAAGCAGCATTCCGTTCGTCTGCGAATGCGGTAATTTGTGGCTCAACCACCCCTCACCAGCTGTTGGGAAAATACTACCAGCACCTGCGGTAATGCAGATGGAAATTCGGGAAAAAAAAAAAAAAAAAAAATTCATTCTCTTTTTTGAGATAGAAAATATGTGTACTAGCAACGTATTTTAGGAATGGCATACAAATGCCTAAACAACTAAAACGAAAGCACAAAAACTGATAGAAAAAACATTTCAAAAGTCAAAAAGAAATTGTATTTAAATATACAGATATCCTAAAAAATTTTAAAAACAAAATATTTTTTAATTATTTTCACCGTTGCCTCATTTACATTTAGACATTTTGCAATGTCAGATACTTTCACTTTTTAACAAAGGATTCAAGATTTGCATTGCCATCTACAAAGAAATAGATTTTCTCTTAAATGTAGTTTACTTTCGGACATACCTTGGGACCGAAATTATATTTCAGTCCCAAAAGTACCTTGGGACTGAATCAATTAAACATTGGTATGTTCTCTTCCAATGTCGGATACCATCCAAGGAATTACTCCTAAAACCGACAACGCTATTTTGTTAATACTCCTAAAACCGACAACGCTATTTAGTCAATACTCCTAAAACCGACAAAGCTATTTTGTTATTATTCCTAAAACCGACAAAGCTATTTTGTTATTATTCCTAAAACCGACAAAGCTATTTTGTTATTATTCCTAAAACCGACAAAGCTATTTTGTCATTATTCCTAAAACCGAAAAAGCTATTTTGTCATTATTCCTAAAACCGAAAAAGCTATTTTGTCATTATTCCTAAAACCGAAAAAGCTATTTTGTCATTATTCCTAAAACCGACAAAGCTATTTTGTCATTATTCCTAAAACCGACAAAGCTATTTTGTCATTATTCCTAAAACCGACAAAGCTATTTTGTCATTATTCCTAAAACCGACAAAGCTATTTTGTCATTACTCCTAAAACCGACAAAGCTAATTTGTAAAGCAAACGGATTTTTTTAAGATTCTTCCAAAATCACAATCACTTAATATGTGTAATCTGGAGCAAGAGACAGTACTATGTAAATGACAGGCACACCTACATTTCCAAAAAATTTCGATATGAGAGAATGCATGTATTCCCAGGATTTCTAGCCAAAGGGCGTTAACCCGAAAGGGCTATTAGTCTGCAAACGTTATTTTGAATCGAATCACTATAAACGACTGTATCACTTTTCTAATTGTTGCCAACAAGTATTATCGCCCTATATTATATTTAAAGAAATTAAATAATGAACAATCTCCATGAATGTGTGTATGTTTCTCGGGCTGCGAAAAAACAATGGTACCTAGAGACGTTAAATTTTCAATAAGCTGTCCTCCACTAAAATATGGGCATCTGGAAGCCCGAAGTTGGAATCTGGAATTTGTTTTATTATCTATTTCATATTTTGTAAAACTTTAACCAATTTTTGATTAAGAAACTCAACGATTTCAAATCCAGCAATGGCAAATCTGTATGGGAAAAAAAAAAAATTATATCCAGCGCGCGAGATTCTGTATCAGAAATTCTAAAGATAAGCGCATTTTAAAGTTATTTCGCGATCTTGTTGTTGAACTGTATTTTAGGGTTTGAGTATATAGAACATGATATTTAATAAATGAGGGTAACACACAAAACGTTAAAAAAACGCCCCTTTGGACGTTATTAAAAATCTGAAACCTTTCAGATTTTTTTTAATTTATTTTCAAAACTAAACTGATTTCAATAGAAACATAGCAGCAAAAAGTAGCATAACAAGTAAATAAAAAGTATCTGAATGCTTTCAGATTTTATATTACGCCCAAAGGGCCGATTTATTTAACCCTTTCGCCGTTCTCTCCTGTCCCCCCCCCCAGCGGCCGTCTGTTTTCCGTAGCGTGTAATGTTGTTTTCTCTGTACATCATAACTTTCCATACACGACTTTCGTAGTGGATGAATGTCAATGAATATTAAGTAAAATTATAAGGAAATAAAGCATAATGGAAAAATAATAATATCTCTGCTTATTTCTAACAGCAGGATAATTTGATCACATCTGATCCAGGCGGTTCACTCCTTCCATTTTGTTGTTGTAATCTTTTACAATTATTGTTTTTTTTTACAGTTCTTTTGCGTTTTCCAACATCCATCATCGAGTTATTATGGACTGTACTCATCAAACATATATCCTTCTTGTCTTTCCAATTCACAACCTCATTTTTTCTTTTTTTCTGCCGAGTATACGTTGAAGCCATCTCTCACTGTCTTGCATGTGTAAAATGGCGCGAATATTCATAAAACACGGGGCAAATTCAATTTGAAATAGAATGCCTGATGAGTGCTGCCCTCTAGGAGGTATTAGAACAGAGGAAAATAAAAACTCAAACAAGTAAACATTTAGAAAGCGTTTCAAACGTTTAAAAGTTTTAATATGTAGAAGAACGCTTGCGGCGCCTTACGGCCGTCGTGCGGAAGTTTCACTTGAACGCGTTAGACGCGTTACGGACGAAGAGGTTAAAGTTTTGGGTGTTACCTTTATTTATTAAATATCATGTTCTTCGCACTTAAACCATAAAATTCAATTCAACAGCAATATCGCAAAATAATTTTAAAACGAGCACGAGCATATCTTTAAAACTTCAGATACACAGTCTCGCGCGCTGCAGATTAAAAACGGTTTCTTTTTTGTACAGTGTTGCCATTGCCGTCTTTGAATTTGTTAGGTTTGTTAATCAAACATTCGTTAAAGTTTTACCAAATGTAAAATAGATAATAAAACAAATTCTACGTTCGGGGTTCGAGGTGCGCATATTCGGGTGGAGGAACTGTCGGAAGTGATATTTAGTTGCAATGTTCTTCGGTAAAACAGAAGTGCTGATAACGCAATGCAATATGACAAAAATCCTATTTCGTATAAAGACCAGTCATAGATCTTCAAAGCAAATGGTTGAGCAATGTGTACAAAGAAACCATATGGATAACACGTGAGCATAATTACAGCATTAAACCAATTACAGTGACAGCACAACAAACTTCTGAAGAAGGACAGACGTCTCGTAATTCGAAGCATCAACCTT